GCGAGCTGCGTCGACGGATGGCTCGAATATCTCCCAGAGGTAGCCCAACAACACATCCTGGAGAAGGGCATGAAAAAGGGGTCCTGCTTGATTGCGCCATTCGACCCCAATAACGTTGATTCATTGACTTGCGGGTTGAGAGATTTAGAGAACAATTGCCCGCTCATCTACCCAATCGTTCAGCGAATTCCCGATCGAGTCCCGAGTGGGTTCTTCCTGACCGATGCGCTTGGCTTGCGCCGCAGTGCCCGCCGCAGTGCCCGCGGGCCAAGTCGATGTAATTGCGAGGATGTCTCAAGCCAGCTTCGGAGTTCAAACTGAGACCTCTAGGTTGCTGGGAGGAGGAGGAGAAAAAGGAGGAGGAGGACGAGAAGGAGGGGCTGGAGGAGGAGGAGCGGGAGGAGGAGGGACAAGAGGAGGAGGAGGAGGGAAGGGCGGGGAGGGAGCGGGGGAGAGGGATGGCGCCGAAGAAAAGAAGTGGGGAGGCGCAGGGGGAACGGGAGGGAAAACGCCGAAACGATTGAGCCTCCCCGGGGCCCGCGGGCGTTGTGCTCATGTTCAATGTTCGCATGCGCAAAAAAGTATTGCCCGAGCTGAAATCCGAGCAAGTGGATGCAGCGGCGCTTTGCGCGAGGCGCCTGAAGGCCCTCCTCCAGCACGCCAGGTGCTCCTGGGCAAACGCGGAGGGGACGCTCTGCGTCTCCGTCTCTCCCCACCCCTCATCCTGCTACTCCTCCACCTCCTCCCCCTCCTCCTCCTCGTCCTCCTCCTCCTCCTTCTCCCCCAGGCTCCTGCCCGCCCCATGCCTTCTTTCTGGTCTCATCGTTTCCCTTGTCGCCGCTCGGCTCAAGGTACTTGTTTAGGAACACGGGGAACTCGTATTCCGACAAAGTGCACGCCATCAAGGCCGTGATGACAAGGTCGCCGAAGAAGCAGGGCGATGCAGCTTCCACCGGCGACTGCGCCGAGGCAGCGGAGTCCTGCGGCGACGTGGACCAGGGCGCTGACTGCTTGGATGCCCTGGTGGACGGCCTCGACGGCGGCGAGTCTGGTGCCGAGGCAGCGGAGTCCTGCGGCGACGTGGTCCAGGTCGAGGACTCCCTGGATGCCCTGGTGGACGGCGGCGGCGAGTCCGGCGCAGAGGCAGCGGCGCCCGAAGGCGACGTGGTCCAGGTCGCGGACTCCCTCGACGCCGTCACGGACGGCCTTGACATCGGCGAGTCCCAGGCCATGGTGGCGGACGACAACGAGATGTCGGATGCCGCATCCACGCTGGACGCTGCAACGTTGCCGCTCTGCGGGGGGGAGCAGCTGGAAGCGTTCGCCGGCGCCTTGGACTTGGACGACGACGACTGCCACGTCGGCGGCTCGCAGACGGCGGCGGAGACGTTCGAGGCGCTCTTCGATGACTGGCAGCCCACGTCTGGCGATCTCGTCGGAACGGCCACCCCAGGAGGCGACGACGAGGAAGGCGAGGCCGAGGGGGTGGAGGCGGCGGGCGACGACGACGACTTCGAGGGCGAGGGCGAGGAATCCGAGGACGGCGGCGAGATCAGCAAGTCCGAGTCTGTGCAGGGTGACGACGGCGAACCTTTGTCAGCTCAGGACTGCCAGTCACTCGTGGCTGCGTGGGGCGGCTCCGGCGAGAGCCCTGAGTCGGGCCCGGAGGGCGAATTCGAGATGATGATGGACTCGATCGCTGGCGTTCGCAAGCCGAAAGATAAGATGGCTGACGCACTAGACCCGCCGCCATCGCTGGCCCCCGATCTCAGCGAGGCAGCCGTGGCGTTCATGGCCGACATCCACGAGTCCCAGATCCCGACCGTCAGCACGTTGAAGAAGAAGAAGAAGGGCAAGGGCAAGGGGAAGGGCAAGAAGAGGAAGGGCCAGGCCAAGAAGGCGAAAGAGTTGAAGGGCGGCGCCTCGTTCAAGGGCTCCAAGGGCAAGAAGCTCCGCAAGCTCAAGGCGTCGACGGCAGCTGAGGCGGCCGAGAACGGGAGCTGGCGCGAGGAGTTCGAAGAGCCCGAAGCGCCCGCTGACAAGAGCAAGAAGCACGGCACTGGCAAAGGCAAGGGCAACAAGCGCGCTGGCGACGCCGACGTGCAGGCTATCCCTACGCCGGCGAAGGCCATGAGGAAGCCCGCGGCAGCTACGTCGCCCGAGGAGGCCGCCCCCGAGGTCCAGGCGGGCGTCGACCTGCCCGACGACCTGCCCAAGGTGACGAACGAACAACATGCACCCATACCCATAGGGAGGTCATTGGCAGGAGGGTATGGGTGCGGGTTGTCGGACCCTGGGGAACGCTCCCGTTCGAGCGAGGACCCCTATCCGACAACGCGCACCCATAGCCCTCTCCGATCCCCCTATGGGTATGGGTGTGTGTTGCTGGCTCGTCACGAGGAGGCCTACCCGCAGAAGGCGATCGGACAGCACCAGCGCAACTACCGCATCAAGCATCACCTCGGGACGATCGAGGTGCAGCTGCAGAACCGCGTCTTCCGTCTCATCCGGAAGAAGGACAGCGCCGAGAGCATCATCAAGAGCATGCCGAGTGAGATCGGCGGCCCTGTGTTCAACTGGAACGTCATCGGCAGTATCCAGGCGGCCTGGGAGATGGCGGTGACCGCCCTGGACCGCTACCAGCCTGGCCAGTGAGGCGGCACCTTGCTCCGCGTCCTCGCTCATCCTCCGCATCCTTGCTCATCAGACCTCGCCTTCCTCGCCCTCATCCTCCTCCTCGCTCTCATCCTCTCCCCCTCGTCCTCGTCCTCGTCCTCCTCGTGCCCTGCTGAATTCCACCGCCTCCTCCTCATCCTCCTTATCCTCCTCCTCGTCCTCCTCCTCCTCATCCTCCTAATCCTCCTTCCTCCTCCTCTCCTCATCCTCCTAATCCTCCCTATCCTCCTCCTCCTCCTCCTTCGTCCTTCCGAGCACGAGGCGCTGATCGGCATTTTTGCAGTGCCCACTTCGTCGCCTCCACCATCTCCTCCTATCCTCCTCTCGCGGTCGCTTGATTGCGAGCATTGCGTTAGGCGGTCAGCGGCACTGTTGTAGTGCCAGCTCCCTCGCCTTCCTCCTCCCCCAAGTCCTCCTATTCCTCCTCCTCCTCGTCTCATGGGCGCTTGGATGCGAGAACCACACTAGGCGTTGAGCTGCCCTTCTGTAGTGCCAGCTCCCTGGCCCTCCCCCTCCTCTTCCAAATCCCACTCGTCGTTCTCGCGTGTCTCTCATTGGGCCCTCTGCAATGTCAAAGGCACCGCTACGGCCGAGTGGCAGCCAGGTGCTCGGCGCAACGAGTTGCGTCACATTCGTGACGAGCCGCGCGGTGGGGCCGCGCGGAGCTAGCAAGCAAATGCCCCCCCTATCCTTTCCTTTCGTCTCGCAAATCGACTCGGCCCCAACGTGCGCCCGCCCGGAGGAGGACGAGGAGGAGAAGATAAGGAGGTGGACGAGGGCAGGGGGTAGGAGGAGGAGGAGGAGGACGAGGAGGAGGGGGGGGAGGAGGAGGAGGCGGAGGAGGCGGAGGAGGAGCAGGAGGAGGAAAATGACTAAGGAGGAGAAGGACGATGACGACGAGGAAGAGGAGTTGAACGGAGGGAGAGGAGAAGAGAGAAGACGAGAAGGGCACTTAGGGTCAGCAGTGGATCCGATCCACGGGGGCCCCAGAGGCCCCGAAACACTCTCGGTGATATTGGGGGGTTCCATGGGCCCCGAACCTCGTCGGGAAGCGCGCGAGTTCGGGGGGCCAGCGGGGCCCCGAGGAGAGGAGAGGAGCGGGGGATGATGGCAATATGATTAGGAAAACCAAGGGGAACGCCCAGGGCCTTACGCATCCCTGAGCCTTTATCAAGTCAGAGTGGGGTCGAGGGTGGAGGCGACCTGGCCGCTCTGCCCACCCCCCTTTATGTTTGTTAGCCCTTGCCGCCCCGAGGGAGGGGGGAAGGCGGTGGCGCTGGGCCATCTGCGTCTCGGGTGTCCCCTGGCTGCTCGCTGCCAGCTCGCCCCTCTGAGTCGAACCGCCCTCCTCTGTGCCCGCTGCCGGCTCGCGGGTCGAACCGCGCTCATCCGTGGGTGGACCTCTTCCAACTCCCCTCGCTTGATTGTGCTGTGACCCGTCGAGAGCATGGTCACCTTTCGAGCGCATTCGGGATGCGCGGCCACGCGAGTGCATGGCCACCTCTTGAGCTTTTGAGTGCATGCGGGGCCCGTCGAGTGCATGGTCTCCTCTCGGGGGGCAAGTTCGGAATCCTGATCGTGAAATGGACATGGCCCATGGGGGTCTCGATCCCCATATCCATTATAGAACTGAAGCGCGAGCGAAATGATAACTGAAAACCTTAGGTCGAGCCCCAAACAACACATGCAACAAAATACACAAACGCGCTGGCACTAAGACACCAAACACATAACACACATAAGCAATCCATACAACACAACATGCAACATGGTAATTCCAGTGGTGCTCTCCGCTAGTGTCTCGAGGGTAATCCCAGTGGTGCTCTCCGCTGGTGTCTCGACGGTAATTCCAGTGGTGCCCCCCGCTGGTGTCTCGAGGTTATTTCCAGTGGTGCTCTCCGCTGGTGTCTGGCAGCTTGTGACAGCGCGCGTGGCACGAAACAAAAACATAATAATGCTGTGTGTAACATAACATAACATAACAACAACACATACAACATTAAACCTAAAACACCATACAATAATACAATCAACACAAAACACATAACACATCAACACTACAACTTAACATACAACAATCAACGACACCTGACAACAGACACCACACACGTAACATACAACACATAAGCATAACTATAACACATGTTGCATTCAAGCAACCATAACGCACACGATAAGAACTGCCCCCCCATATGGGGTTTGGGGATGGGCTGAGATTCGGACAAAGCTCCTCGGGACCAAGCGCAAACGCAACGGTTTTAATGGTTCAAAATATTAAGACTCTAGAGCGCCCAATATGGCCCCGTACCCTCCGTAGTGCGCAGGCGTTTCTGGCTCAAGCTTCGAGACCATGGCCAAGAGCGAGCCAAGAGCGAAGCCCACCAAAGCCACGGGCCACCGCGGCACAGTTCTGAAGCGGCCCCAACCGACTGTCACCGCGCGCGCCAGGCCGATGCCCGTGGTGCCCCGAATCACAGATGACCCGTTGCTCGTGGCCAAGTCTCTGAAAGCTTGCAGTGCCCCCAAGGTGCTCATCAAACTAGTGTTGTTGGTGTGCGCGACGCTCAGGCCGGGCCCGCCCATCTTCGACCAAGTGGAGTTCATGGCAGGCAAGCACGAATGTACAAAGGCCGCGTGGGACACAGGCAAACAGGCATTTCCGTACGAGATCTGCACGCCTGCGACATTTCCGATTGGCCCCAGGGGGGATGAGAGAGGGAGGGCAGGTCCGACGAGGTAGAGTCGGCGAGTGTAGGATTGGGTAGAGCCGCGGAGGAGGAGGCGGAGGAGGAGGAGAAGGGGGAGGTATGAGGTAGAAGGGGAGGCCATCGGGGTGGGGGAAGTAGGAGGTGGATGAGGAGGAGAAAGGGGGGGGACGTGGCAAATGATGTCGAGGATGTTTGGGGGACAGGGAAGCGGGCGAGGAGGAGGAGGAGGCGGCCGTGAGTAGGGGCACCTGATGATGATACAAGAAATGCCCGCACGCCCGCGGCCGCTCGGGACGAGGGCCCACGTATTCTTCACGGTCAGTATTTCGACATTAATTCGAGCAAGGGTTTTGCCACTGCGATAGTGCTTGGCTTGCGGACTCGAATGGCTGCTGGGATATCGCCTTTCGCTCCGGTCTGCTCTTCGTGGGTCCCGATTAACTTTGGGACGTCCAAGCGGTCAGTTGCAGATCCGCTTGGTAATACTGCACATTCGTATGTGCAGGATGCCAACTGCATGGTGTCTCGCGTGGCCTTGCTGATCATGCTGTTCACCTCTCTTGGGATCCCTTGGTTTTTAGAACAACCCAAGGGGTCCTTATTAGAGAGTCACCCGAGGATTGCTCACCTTTTGAGCTCCATGCCAATGACCCGCATTAGTATCTGCATGGGTCGGCACGGCGCCCCCTCCAAGAAAGATTCGTGGAGTCGCGGGCTTCGCCCTTTTCCGGCCGCTTCCAGGGAAAAGGGCGCGTGGGCCCGAGCAGGGAAAATCGAGCAAACAGAGATCCATCCACACTGCTCCCGCCCGGTCGCCCTCGAGAAGGGCAGTGGATCTACAGCGTGTTCAGTTGGTTTAAAGATATCGACCGCTGGAGCGTGCCATTCGTCCCACAGGAGGGCGTGCAAACCTACGCGCATAAGAACGGCCGCGACGGGCGGCCCACGTGGGAAGGAGGCAGGGATCTCAAGCGCTCGCAAGCATACGCCCCTCTTTTTGCAGCCAACGTCCAAAATCTTTTCGATCTGCATCGAGGCGATCTCATCACTTGGGCCCATGACATCGCCAGTGCGGCGGCAAAGACCAGCATCTCCCCCGAGGACTGGTCGGGCGGAGATCTTTGGGACGACGCCCGCCTAGGCCCTGTTTTCGAGTGGCTTGTAGCATAGCTCGTGTGGAAAACACGTGCGCTGTGCTCGCTGCTTATCTGCGTGGGGACTTGGGCGATGCACTCGTTGCTGTGCTAAGCTCGCTGTGGTCGCTGTTATTCTCTGTGCGCGATGGCCATGGGTGGTGCAAGGACTATGGCGACTATGGAGGAGGATGAGGAGGATGAAGATGATGAGGAGGATGATGAGGATGACGAGGAGAACGATGAGGAGGGCGAGGAGAACGACTAGGGCGAGGAGGGCGAAAGTGCCCATCGCCAAAAGCGAGGTGGGCCGCTCGCCCATCGTGAGATGGGGTCTCCCCAGATGTGTCGAGATCTTTCGGGTGCCCATCGCACTGCGGCGCAGAGCTTCCGTGGCTGAAATATCAGCAAACGGTGTCGCTCTGAGTCATCCCGTTCTCACCTTTTGCCTTCCCATCCCCTCTCTCTCCTCGGGGTGAGCGCGCGTGCCCTCTTGAGCCCCTACCGCGGGCGCCTCGGGGTCCTTTTGGAACCCTTCGGTGTCGTCTTTGGGCCCCCTTGGACCGTCTCGGGCTGTCTTGGGCCACAGCCGTGACGTCTCGGGCCCTCTTGGGCCACCTTGGGGCCCTATTGGGCCGCATTGGGGCCCCCTTGTGCGCTCCCTGGGGCCTTCTCGGAGCCCTCTTGGGCCGCATTGGGCCATCTCGGGGCCCTCCTGGGCCACCTTGGGGCCCTATTGGGCCGCATTGGGGCCCCCTTGAGCGCTCCCTGGTGCCTTCTCGGAGCCCTCTTGGAGCCTCATTGGGCCCGCGGTGCCATCTTGGGGCCAGTCGGTCGCCTCTCGATGTTTTCGCATCTCCAATATTTTTTTTGCGAAGCTTGTCCAGCCGATGTCTCAGAATTCTCGAGTTTTTTCGGTTGAAACGTGTTTCTGAGCGAAACAAATGCCGGAAATGGGCCGTCAGAGTGCCGTGAATGGGAGTAGAATGCCGTAAATGGGAGGTCTCTATGTCCTTTGTCTTGAGGAGGGCAGAGAGGAGAACGCGACAGAGAGGAGGGCAGAGAGGATGAGAGGGTGGGCAGAGGGTGGCAGCGAGGAGCAGAGGGTGGGCAGAGGGTGACAGAGGGGGTGGCAGAGGGCGGCATGGGGGGGCCCTATGGGTGGCCCAAGAGGGCGCCCCAGGCGCCCCTCTGTGGGGCAGATGGTGCCCCAGTGGTGCCCTGAGGGCCCTGTGTGGCCTTAAGATGGGCCCCGAGAGACCGCGAGGGGGTGACGACGTCGCACCCCCGCCCCCTGCTCTACGGCCCGCGCCCCCCCCCGCGGCCCCGCCCCCGCAGGGGCCGATGGCGCGGCTGGTCCTGAAGCGCATCACCGCCAAGAGAGGCCTCCCGCTGCCGGGGGGAGCGCCGCGAGGCGAGATGAAAGCGATGATGTGGTGGAGGGGGGATGCTAAGGATTAGGAAGAGGAGGATCGAGTGGAGGATGAGGAGAATGGAGATGAGGAGAGTGAGAAGGAGGAGGAGGGTGGCGAAGACGAGGAGGGGAATGGGGGAGGAGGAGAAAGATGAGGAGGGGGGAAGAGGATGAGAGGGAAGAGGAGGAGGAGGAGGAGGGTGAGGATGGGGAGGACGCGGATGGAGGATTAGGAAGAGGAGGAGGAGGAGGAGGAGGAGGAGGAGGAGGAGGAGGAGGAGGAGGAGGAAGAGTAGGAGAAGGAGGAGGAGGAGGAAGATGAGGAGGAGAGGGAAGAGGACGAGGAGGATGATACGAGGAATCGCACCAGGAGTGGAAGCGAGGTGGTGCATCTAGAGTCTAAGGGTGCTGTTCGTGTCTCGGCTAGCGCCGATCTTTTCAACAGTGCAGGGGGGCCCGCTGGCACCGAGATAGGCGCACACACACACACACAAACACACACAAACGCACGCACACACTCACGCGCGCGCAGCTCCACACGCACGCACTTGCACTAAAATCCCCTCCTGCCTTCCTGCCGCCACACACCACGCACGCAGTTGCCGGCTGCCTTCCTGCCGCCACGCAGTACACACACGGCGCACTTGCACTAAAAGTTCAGGCTGCCTTCCTGCCTTCCCGCCGCCACACGCACGTCGTTTACGCTGCCCCCGCTAAGCTACAACAAGCCCGTTCTAACTTACAACGGTTCCGTTCTAGCCGAGAACGGTGTCGTTCTAGGCTAGAACGCCGCAATTGCCCCCTCGTCCGCACTCGCGTCGTGAGGGACAGAGCCTTTCCATCTGATCATTGCTCCTCCTCCTCTCCTCCTCTGCCCCCTCAACCTCCTTCTGATCACCACTCCTCGCCCGCCTGCCCAGCCCCCCGGCGCGCCGCTCGGCGACCCGCTCGAACAGCCCGCGGTCCGCCTTGCGAGCAAGGGGGGCCAGCGGCGACGGCGATGACGTCGGCCACTCTGGCAACCGCAGAGGCGCGAAGATACGAACGCATCGCCGACCAGATCGAATCGGGCCCCCAGGAGCAGCGGGGTCGCACGATGATAATCGCGCGTCGCGCAGCGTGAGGGCGCATTGCAGCATCGCTGGAACATCCCAAGGTCACTGTAGCATTCTTCCCCCCTCGTCCTCCTCGCCCTCCATCTTCTCGAAAATGCGCAACGCATCAGGGCCCGTGCTCCTTTCTGCGCCCCCTCCTCACCCTCCTCTTCCCTCCTCCTCTTGCTCTTCCCTCCTCCCCCTATGCATCCCTCCTCTTCTCTGCTCCACTCCTCTCCTCTCCCCTCCTCTTCCTCCTCGGCCCCCTTTTCCTCGTCCCCCGTCTCCACCTCCGCCCTCCGCCCTTCCTGTCCATTGCCCCGTCGGGGCGTTGGGGTCAAGGTGCTTTGCTGGCCCTCGGGCAACTGCGGGCGCCTCTCAGCCCACTTCGCCCCTCTAGCCGTTTTGGTTTAGGGCTGGGCCGTCTCAGCGGTCGCGGGCGGCCGCCTCAGCGGGCTGGGCCGTCTCGGCGGTCGCGGGCGGCGCGCTGTCATGGTCAAGGGCAAAATCGGCGAGGCTGTGCGGGAGGAGCCCGATGTTCCGGAGGTGAAGAAGATTAAGAAAAAGAAAGTCAAGAAGGGTTCAAAGAGTGCTACTCCGTTGCCGAAGGCCAAGGACGGCAGCGTGCCCACGCCGCCAAAGATCGCCGCGATCAAGGAAGCGATGCAGGCGGCGACGGAGGTTGGCAAGATGGTGAGCTCCAAACGTGGACCTGATCCTGGTGCTGGCGGGCTGACGACTCCACCTCTCAAGAAGCCAGCTCAGGAGACGAGCGTGCAGGGCCAGGGCAAGGGCGCGACCGGCAAGAGCAACCTCGGGAAGGGCAAGGGCAAAGGCAAGGGCGTGAAGGGGAAGAGCTTGGATCCCAAGACCGTCTTCGACGTCGTGTGCAAGGTGGCGGGCGAGGCTGAGATGCACCCGAAGTCGGCGCTCAAGCAGATGAAGATCAAGGAGTTCGGCTTCGAGGAGATGTCCAAGCTCGACATCGAGAGCCTGGAGGATCGCATGCGCCAGCTGCTCGACCTCGAGGCCGTGGTCCACGCTGGTGGTGGCGCAGCGGGCAGCGGGCAGCACGCCGCCGAGAGCAGCGCCGTGGACGCCGCCATCGCGGCGCTGACGGATGGCGACGCGAAGAAGGCTGGAGCAATGGGGGGAACACAAAAGGGGGGGCGGCAGTCCGTGCAATAGTTCGTCTGCCTGAACTATTGCGAGGGGGCACGAACAATTGCAAACCGCCTGAACTATTGCGCACGAAACAAGACGACGCAACACCCGCGCGGAACTATTGCATCCACGCCGCAAACTATTGCATCCAAACACCATATTGCATGAACTATTGCGCCTACCCCGGCCCCCCCATTTGCGTTCCCCCCATTGCTCCGGCTTAGAGAAGGAGCCAGCTGAACAGGGTCACCAGGTTGAAAGGGATGTGCTGAACAGCACGACGTGCCCGGCGGCGTGGGCGGAGTTCACCAGGGTCACCAAGGCCCGCAAGAAGTGGCCTGTCGGCTTGGCCCCGGAGCTCAAGTCGGACAAGCTCGGCCTCTTCCAGGTCTGGATGGGGATGGGCAAGGACGTCGACAAGGTCATGGAGGTCGTCGTCAAGAAGAGGGTGGAGAAGGGCACGCTCAACGAGTGGACCTGGGAGTACAGGAAAAAACGTGAGCGGGGAAACAAATTGACATACCACATACCCGCATCAGCGGTAGGAGTAGGACGAGGGGGAGGGGGAGGAGTGAGATGGGGAGAAAAACGAGTGAGTGGGAGAGGCTGGGCGAGGAGTAAGGAAGAGGAGGAGGAGGAGGAGGAGGAGGAGGAGGAGGAGGAGGAGGAGGAGGAGGAGGAAGGCGAGGAGGAGGATGAGAAGAAGGAGAAGAAGAAGAAAAAGAAGAAGAAAAAGAAGAAGGAGGAGGAGGAGGAAGAGGAGACGGAGGAGAAGGAGGACGAGGAGGAGGCGGGGGAGGAGGAGGAGAAGCAGGAGCAGGAGCAGGAGGAGCAGGAGGGGGGGCGCGAGCCAGGTGACATCTTACCGATGTACGGCGGCGACGAGGCTAAGGTGAAGGTGGTCATCGAGTCGACGAACTACCTGGTGGACGAGTTCCTTCCCGAGGACCCGGAGGAGAGGTGGTACCGGGTGAAGGTCCGGGTCGCCCACTCGCGGACGGACAAGACCACCGAGTCGCTCGAGGTCACTGGCGCTGCGGGCTGCGATGATCGCTTCATGGATTACCTGTGCGGCGAAGGTGGTGCATTCGGCGACGGGCTCAGCGTTGCCCTTCCCGGTGCGAGCGACCAAGACACGGTGCAGTTCGCCGCGTCCGTGGCCAAGGCCGAGGGGGCCAAGGTGCAGCGCACGAAGGCGAGGGAGGCGCCCGTCGAGGAGGTGAAGGAGGCGCAGGGCGGCACGGTCGACGCCTGCGCGAAGCTCAGGGAGCTGATGCCGAAGATGCTGGACCAGGCGCAGAAGGCGCGCAGCTTCAGCATCGCCAT